CAAGGGTGAAGGTGTGAGAGGCCGAAGCCGACAGAGTACCTGAGAGGGCGGACTCACCAGTACCTGAGAGCACAGACGCACTGGCACCTAGAGCAGCAGCCTCACTAGTACCTGACGCGGCAGTACCAATGCCCGGGTCGGGCGGGAAACACCGGTAACAGTCATCCTCATCACTACCAGTCACAGCATACATAGCAGAGAGAATAGCATCAAAGTCAAGATCACAAATAGCTACACCAGCCCTAGACAGCTCTCCCCAGCGGGGGATCTCAGCGGCCTCCGGAAACTGCTGACGCCAGGCGTCGGTCAGGCGGCCAAAGCAGCGACGGGCCGTGTGGGCGCCTCCACACCTCTCCCCTGCACGGTCACCACTGCGAAGAACGTAGGGGCAGGGACCAAGCGCACCACCGCGTTGACGCTGCAAGTACCATTTCACGGAGCTGCTGAGGGCCGGGGACGGTGCGAGAGCGCTGCTGCTGCTGCGGCTGCTGCTGCGGCTGCTGCTGCTGCTGCTGCTGGCGCTGGCCACCCCCAGAGCTGCTCCGCTGGGACGAGCCACTCCGACCCCCTCCTCCACCGCCAGCCCCGCCTCCACCGCCACCCCCGTCTCCACCGCCACCTCCCCCACTAGGACCGTCGCTCCCACCGCTCCCACCGCCTCCTCCGCTACCACCTCCGCCGCCACCTCCGCCTCCACCGCCGCCACTACTACCTCCACTCCCGCCACCACCCCCACCGCCACCCCCACTCCCCCCTCCACCCCCACCGCCTCCTCCACCGCCCCCTCTAGCTCCACCCACTCCCTTGCCCCCCTTGCCCTTGCCAGGGCGGCGTCTGCCGCTGGGGGCAGACGCCGCGCCGACCGACTCAAAACCAGCGAGGTCGGCCGCAGCGGCAGAGGCGACAGAGGGCAGCAGGGGGGAAGGACCACACCCCTCAAAGATGGGGGTGCGAGGGTCACCCCGAGAGGCCCCTACAGCGACAATACTCTTCTCAGCCGCTAGCAGGGACTCCTCAAGGAGGTCGACAGTGAGAGTGGTGGGACAGACAGAGAGAAACTGGTCCCTAACGACACGAAGGGACTCAGGGAGACGGGTGACGAGAAAGTAGAGAGTGATGTACATGGGAGGAGGGTTCGCAGCGCGGAACTCAGCAGGAAGGGCAGCGCGGTAGCGGGTGTCACTAGCGCGGAGGTGGGTAACGAGGTCAGCAACAGTGGGAAAGGAAGCGAGGTCAGGGAAGAGAAACGGTAGCATGAGGCGGCTAAGGGTAGCGGAGGAAGGGGAGGAGTAGCGCGCAACTACAGCGTCGTACAAGGCCTGAGCGGTCTTGCACTGACTAAAGTGGGCACGCTCAGAGGAAGGGAGGTGGCGACGCACAGCAAGACGTGCAGCAGCATCGCGGGTCGCCCACTTGGAGCGAACGGCAGAGTCAGCATCAGCAGGCGGGGCAGGGACAGCGCCAGAGACAAAGTCAAAGAGAGAGACCTCATCTACCGCATCACACAGTAAGTACAGCTGCAGGTCCTCGATCCAGACGGCAAAGTCAATGGCCCTCCCCTCAGCGTCAAAAGTGAGAACATTGGGGGTGGCCATGGCAGCAGCTGAAAGTCTCACCGGGATGGGAGAGTCGGGTAGGTCAGCAGCAGGCCGCTCGGGCTGCTCGGGCGGCTCGGGCGGCTCGGGCGGCTCGGGCGGCTCGGGCGGCTCGGGCGGCCCGGGTACCGGGCGGCTCGGATGCTGCTGGGCGGCTCGGCTGCTGCTGGGCGGCTCGGCTGCTGCTGGGCGGCTCGGCTGCTGCTGGGCGGCTCGGCTGCTGCTGGGCGGCTCGGCTGCTGCTGGGCGGTCCGGCCGCAGTGCAGTGGCGGGGCCTGGACAGAGGCCGGCGGGGCCGGGACAGGTGCAGTGGCGGGCCGGGAAAAGGTGCAGCGGCGGGCCGGGACAGGTGCAGCGGCAAGCCGGGACAGGGGACGGCGGGGCCAGGTGTGCAGTGGCGGGGCCAGCAGAGGTGCGCCGGTGGGGCCGGGACACGTGTAGTGGCGGGCCGACAGGGTGCAGCGGCGGGCCGTCAACAGGTGCAGCGGCGGGCCGTCAGGGTGCAGCGGCGGGCCGTCAAAGGGTGCAGCGGCGGGCCGTCAAAAGGTGCAGCGGCGGGCCGTCAGGGCTCAGCGGCGGGCCGGGAAGGTGCAGCGGCGGGGCCGGGAGAGGGGACGGCGGGGCCGTGACAGGAAACGGCGGGGCCGGCAGAATGCAGCGGCGGGCCGTCAAAAAAGGGACGGCGGGGCCGTCAGAAACAGGGCCCGCGGCCGCGACGAAGCGGCCGCGTGGCCGGTTCGAGGGCGGTGGGGCGCAGCCGGGCCGAGAGGGCGGCGCGGCGCGGCCGTAAAGCCCGCGCGACGTGGGCCCGAGCCGCGCGCGCTAAAAAAAAAATTCGCGCGCGACTCGCGGGGGGCCCACAAAGGCAGCGGGAAATGCACTAAGGGGGGGGGGGGGAGCGCGCCTCGGGGAGAGTAGGGCGCTCCGGGCAGAGAGAATATCGTGGGTGGGCCCTAAAAAAAATCGGTCCTTAAGAGGGACCCGCTCTATACCATGTGAAGATAGGTAAACAGGGAATGAAATGACTAAGTCAGAAATTGGTACAAATAACAAACCCTAGGAACCTGTACCCCATATGGGCTACCCCACTATAGCCTACAAACATGCATCAGCTATAATGTTCTGACAGTATGCCCTTCGCCATCAGTTGACTGACGCTCAGTAAGCTGTAGCCGAGTCCTTCTGCTATCAAAACTTTCGACATTTGGAGTATGACGTTTATCTCTCGTGACTGAAGTTGCAATACACCTTGTCGTCGTGTGCGCAGGTTCTGATTGATGGCAACGGTGATGACGACCTCGCGTTGAAGTTGGTGTTCACGTTGAACGAAGCGTCCTGAAGAGCACATGTGCTGTCCACAACAACTATCCAAGAACCACGTATCCTTCCCGGACGGCTCACTTTGAGCGATGGCGGCGTATGTCAGATTTGGTTGGAGTGACTCGCGGCGAGGCGTGCTGTTGTAGAGGTACTCTTCCGGTGAGTAAAGTGGTGGTGACTCTATCACGCAGGAGTCAGTTAGCCGTGCCATGCAACTGACGATGTTTCTTGTTCCTTTCGCAGGCTGTCTCGTCGATGGTGTTGAGCCTTGTACTTGAGTGGTCGGATTCGCTTGCGTTGAGGCGACTTGACTGCTTGAAAGGCGAAGCTGGCGTTGCGGTGACGTTGACTGCTGTCGATTCGGGTAGTGCGTACGAGGATGCCCTGAAGTCTTGCAGAGGTGACAGAAAGGAGGTACGATTTTCAGTCGATTGTTGTTGTTGTTGTAGCGCCGTTGAGTGTGAAACGCGAATTCGGGTATTGACGCCTTTTTCTTGTGTCGTTCTTCTTGCATGTCCATGTCTTGCTGCTCGGCGTGGATTTCGGCGCAAAGTGCTGCTTCGGAAATTTTTCCGTGGGCTCGGAGTATGGCGCGAGTGGAGCGCCAGTGAGGACCAAGGCCGCCGATGACGACCGTGGCAAAGGCGTCTTCTGAAATCGACCCTCCGCATCGAAGAAGCTTGTCGCGCAATTCGCGGCAACGACTGATATACGCCATTCCCTTCTCGTCCGATTTCATTTCGACCGTTGTCAATTGCGCCATTAACCGACTTTGGTTAACACTGTCTGTTGCTTGATACAGGTTCTTCAAGTGGTTGTACGCGAGCTCTGCAGAGTTGCCGTATCCCCGGTAAGACCCAGGGCTGACGTTTCAATTTCTAGGCTCCCTGACCCCCCCAAAAAAAATCGCTTCTAGTCTGAAGGCACTTCGGCCAGAAAACGGGCAGTCTGATTGCTCAGTGACGAGAAAACCCGTTGTCTGATTGTTCAGTGATGCCGAGTCAATTTCAGGGAAACCTTTTAGGGCGCGGTGCATAGTTGCTGAAGAGACTATCAAACTTATATGATCTAGCATGTGTAGGCTGTAGCGGGTTAGACACTCAGGGGTACACAATTCTAGGGTTTCATATTTGTATCACTTTCATTCCTTAGTCAACTCATTCTCGTTCTAGTTTTCTCATGGTATCGAGCAGGTTCCCTAGTGGGAACTTTTCCTAGGGCCCACCAAATATCGATTTTTTTTTCCTGCCCGGAGTGCGCTTAGCCCCTGCCCGAGTCGCGCCCCGTGTGTCTCCCCTTAGTGGCCTGTCGCGCCCTCTTACGGCCCCGTCGCGCCGCCCTCGCGGCCCCTCGCGGCCCCTTAGCGGCCCCTCGCGGCCCCGTCGCGCCGCCCTCGCGGCACCGTCGCGCCGCCCTCGCGGCCCCTAGCAGCCCCTCGCGGCCCCTCCCACGGCCCCTCACGACCCCTTTCGCGGCCCGTCGAGGCCCCTTTCGGCCCCGTGCGGTCCCTCTCATGGCCGCTCGCGGCCCCTTCGCGGCCCCGTCGCGCCGCCCTCGCGGCCCCGTCGCCGGCCCCTCCCCCCCTCGGCCTCGTCGCCGCCCTTCAGCGGCCACGTCGCCGCCCCTCCGCGGCCCCGTTGCCGCCCTTCCGCGGCCCCATTGCCGCCCTTCCGCGGCCCCGTCGCCGCCCTTTGGCGGCCTCGTCACCGCCCTTCAGCGGCCTCGTCGCCGCCCTTTAGCGGCCCAGTTGCCGCCCCTTGCGGCCCCGTCGCCGCCCTTCCTCAGCCCCTCCGCCGCCCTTCCCGGCCCCGCCGAGCAGGCGAGCCGCCGTCACCGCCGAGCTGCCGAGCCGCCTTTGCCGCCGAGCCGCCCAGCCGCCCAGCCGTAGAGCCGCCGAGCCGCCGAGCCGCCCTGCAGCCGAGCCGCCGAGCCGCCACATCACCGCAGCCGAGACGCCGCAGTCACTGCAGTCGCGGCCCTGTCCCTGCCGGCCTGCCTAGGCCCGCCCCACCGACCCGGTAAGAGCAGCGCCTCTGCCACTGCACAGCCCTACCCCGCTGCTCTCTCTGCTAGTCTACTGCTGTCATGGCCACCCCCAGTGTTCTCACCTTTGACGCTGAGGGTCGGGCTGTTGACTTTGAGGTCTGGGTAGATGATCTGCAGCTTTTCCTACAGTGCGATAGGGCAGACGGTCTCTCCCTCTTTGACCTCACTTCAGGTGCCTCTCCTGCCCCTGCTGCTGATGCTGATGCCACTGTTCGCTCACAGTGGACCACGCGCGATGCTGCTGCCCGCCTTGCTGTGCGCCGCCACTTACTAACCGTTGAGCGCGCGCATTTCAGTCAGTACAAGAGTGCAAAGACCTTGTACGACGCTGTAGTTGCACGCTACTCTTTCCCTGCCACAGCTGCTCTTAGCCGCCTCATACTGCCGTACCTCGCCGCTTTTCCCACAGTCACTGACCTCATTACGCACCTTTACACTAGTGACATTCGCTACCGCGCTGCGCTTCCCGCTGAGTTCTGCGCCAAGAACCCCCCCCCCTATGTACATCACCCTCTACTACATAGTCACCCGGCTCCCTGACACCCTTCGCTCGGTCAGGGACCACTTTCTCTCTGTTTGCCCCACCACTCTCACCGTTGACCTCCTCGAGGAGCGCCTCCTAGCAGTAGAGAAGAGTATAGTCGCTGTAGGAGCCTCTCGTGGTGACCCTCGTACCCCTGTCTTTGAGGCGTGCTCCCCCCCCCCCCTCTTGCCCTCTGTTTCCTCTGCTACTGCGGCCGGCCTCGTTGGTCTTGAGTCAGTCGGAGCTGCGTCTGCCCCTAGCGGGAGACGCCGCTCAGGCAAGGGCAAGGGGGGCAAGGGCGCTGGAGGAGCTGGCGGGGGTGGTGGAGGCGGCGGTGGAGGCGGCGGAGGGGGTGGGGGTGGCGGTGGGAGTGGTGGCGGGGGTGGGGGCGCTAGTGGCGGCAGTGGAGGCGGAGGAGGAGGCGGTGGTGGCGGTGCGGGCGGAGGTGGCGAAGGTGGAGGCGGTGGTGGAGGTAGCGGCGGCGAAGGTGGAGCTGATCGGGGCAGCTCTACGCAGAGGGTCGGCTCCGGTGGTGGTGAGCGCCAGCAGCTTCGTGAGTGGTACATTGCTCGTGAGCGGGGTGGGGGTGATGGCCCCTGTACCTACGTTCTCCGTACCAGCGACCGCGCGAGTGAGCAGTGTGGGGGTCCGCACTCCGCTCAGCGCTGCTTCGGCCGTCTGACGGATGCTTGGCATCACCAATTCCCCGACGCTACTAAGATCCCTTGCTGGGGTGAGCTGTTTAGGGCGGGGGTTGCGATCTTTGATCTTGATTATGATGCTATTCTTGCTGCCATGTATGCTGTGACTATTAGTGATGAGGGTGACTGTTACCGGTGTTTTCCGCCTGACCCGGGCATTGAGGCTGCTGCTCTAGGTGCCAGTGAGTCTGCTGCCCCAGGTGCTGGTGAGTCTGCGCTCTCAGGTACCGCGTCGGCTCCGGCCACCCACACCTTCACCCTTGACTCGGGTGCTTCCCGCTCCTTCTTTTGAGACCGCACCACGCTCACGCCGCTTAGTCGGCCAGTGGCAGTCTCCCTGGCAGACCCCTCTAGGGGTCTTGTCCTTGCCCACTTCTCCACTGTTCTACCGTGTTCGGCGGCCCCTTCTGGCACCCTGTCACGTCTTTACCTCCCCTCATTCTCTACGAACTTGGTGAGTGGTGCTGACCTCCAGGATGCAGGGGTTCACCAGTTCACTCCTGCGAGTCAGCGAGTGACCCACTGATCCTGTGCTCGTACGGGCCGTCACTTGGCCACGTTTACCCATCAGCCGGGGTCAAGCCTGTACACACTGACTACTGAGTCTCCTCCAGTCGCTGAGTCAACTCAGGTAGCCGCGTCGGGTCAGGTGTTTGCTGCGGCGTCCAGGTCTGGCCCTGAGTATGCCCCCTGCTCGTGTCGTCTCCTGTCTCACCAGACTCTCCTCTGGCACCACCGCATTGGTCACCCCTCCCTGCCTCGTCTTTGAGGTATGGCTTCCCGTGTCCTTGTCTCTGGTCTCCCCCGGTCCCTCCCTCCCCTTCCTCTGGGGCCTGCCCTCACCTGCGTTCCCTGCGTCAAGGGGCGGCAGCGCGCTGCTCCTCACTCCTCCGAGTTTCCTCCGACAGAGGCTCCGCTGCAGACGCTTCACATGGACGTGTGGGGCCCAGACCGCGTCCGTGGACAGGGTCACGAGCGTTACTTCCTGCTGGTGGTTGACTACTACTCGCGTTACACCACAGTCTTCCCCTTGCGCAGCAAGGGTGAGGTCACTGAGGTGTTGATCGCCCGGATCCGCGCAGCTCGTCTCCAGCTCAGAGAGAGTTTCGGCTCGGACTTTCCTGTTCTGCGTCTGCACTCCGACATAGGCGAAGAGTTCTTCTCTGGCCTTCTGCGAGCCTTCTGTCATGCACTAGGCATCCGCCAGACTTGCACGCTTCCGGACTCTCCGCAGCAAAATGGGATTGCTGAGCGCCACATTGGCATGGTCATGGACGTCACTCGTACGTCCATGGTCCATGCGGCTGCCCCCCATTTTCTGTGGCCGTTTGCGGTCAGGTACGCGGCACATCAGATCAACCTTCAGCCCCGGGTCTCCATGCCGGAGACCTCCCCTGCTTTGCTGTGGACGGGGAAGGTTGGCGATGCGTCTGCGTTCCATGTCTGGGGATCTCGGGCATTTGTTCGCGACTTGTCTGCGGACAAGTTGTCCCCTCGTGCTGTTCCCTGCATCTTCCTTGGCTTCCCCCCTGATGCGCCAGGCTGGCAGTTCTACCACCCCACCTCGCGTCGTGTTCTGTCCTCCCAGGACGTCATGTTTGACGAGTCGGTTCCCTACTACCGTCTCTTCCCCTACCGCACTGCGTCCCTCCCGCCCCCGCCGCTCTTCCTTACGCCAGGTCCCCCTCCAGTAGACCCCCTCCCCCCTCAGGGTCCTGCCCCCTCACGTGTGTCCCAGGTAGACGCAGTCGAGCCTGTCGAGGTAGCTGTTGACTCTGGTGCTGCTAGGGGTGCTGAGCCTGCGGGTGCGGGGTCTGGGGATGCTGAGCCTGGAGGTGCTGAGTCTGGGGGTGCTGCGACTGGGGGTGCTGAGCCTAAGGGTGCTTCGCCTGGGGGTGCTGAGCCTAGGGGTGCTGCATCTGGGGGTGCGGAGTCTGAGGGTACTTGGCCTGCTCGTGTGGCGTCTGGTGGTGCTGGGCTAGGAGGTTCTTCGGGTGCTTCGTCCCGGCGGGAGCTACTCTCTCAACAGGAGCTGCGTGAGTGGTTTGCCCGGCGCTGGAGGCGTGCTGCTGGAGCTGGAGGTGCTGCGGGTGCTGGAGGTTCTGCTGCTGCTTAGGGTGCTGGTGCCGCGGGTCCCGGAGGTGCTCGTACTGGGAGTACTGGAGCTGCTGGGCCTGCGGGTGCTTCTAGTACTGTAGCTGGTGGTGGTGCGGGCGTCGGTGCTACTGGGGGTGCTGGAGCTGGTGGACCTGCTATGTCTTCTGGTGGTCCGGGTGGAGCTGGAGCTGCTGGGGGTGTTGGCGGTGAGGGTTCTTCTGGTGCTGGTGCCTCTGAGGGTGCTGGAGTTTGCGCTGCTGGAGCTGGGGGTGCTGCTGGCGCTGGTGCTGTCGTTCGGGGTGCTGGTGCTGTCCCTTCTGGTGCTGGTGGTGCTGAGCGGTTGGGTCGTACTTCGTTCTGCTCATTGAGCAGGTTCTTGGTATTCCACCCTCTGCTAGTCCGGCTCCTCCCTTAGAGTGTCCACCGCCTGTCCAGTCCGAGTCAAAGTTACAGCCTACCTCTCCTCTGCCTGCTCCTTCTCCCTACATTGGTCCTATTGGAGGTCTTGTTGAGTGTCGTGAGCCTGCGTCTCGTCCTGCGTCGCCTGTCCTTGCTGCTCGCACTAGTCGTTGTGGTTCGCGTCAGCCTCCTCCCCCTGTCCCCGGCATGCACCAGATGTCTCTGCGTCCATCCACTGCTCCTCTGCGTGCCCCTTTGCCTTCTCCGCCTGAGTCCTCTCTTCCTGCTCATGCTGACCCGGAGTCAGACTCCCTTCGTGCTGCCAGTCCTACTGTCATGCGTCTCCTTGCTACTGTCGTCACTGACCCTTCCTTTGAGTCCACTGCGGCGTCTGCCCTAGTTGCTGAGCTTGTCGACTTCGCTGCTCGCTGTCGTCTAGACTACGCTGCTAGTCTAGTTGCTGAGGGTGAGTCTGTCTGTCCTCCGTCCGTCGGGGGTGAGTGTGCTCTTGGCACGGACGTCCTTGAGGATAGGCAGGAGGAGTTCCAGTGTCTTGCGGCTGCTTCACCCCATCTCATGTCCATGCTACTTGCCCCTAAGGGAGACCCGGATGCACCACACATCCCGACTCCGCGCTCTTACGCGGAGGCGATAGAGGGTCCCTACTCCTCTCAGTGGTAGGCAGCCATGGACGCAGAGATGGCTTCCTGGAAGTCCACGGGCACCTACATTGACGAGGTTCCCCCGCCTGGGGCGAACATCGTCAGTGGCATGTGGATTTTCAGGGTGAAGCGGCCGCCGGGTTCTCCGCCTGTCTTCAAGGCGCGTTACGTGGCTTGTGGCTTCAGTCAGCGGCAGGGAGTTGACTACTTTCAGACCTTCTCTCCCACCCCGAAGATGACCACTCTTCGGGTACTGCTGCACATAGCCGCTCACCGTAACTACGAGCTTCACTCTCTTGACTTCAGCACTGCTTTCTTGCAGGGCAGCCTGCACGAGGAGATCTGGCTGCGCCGCCCACCTGGCTTCACTGGGTCTTTTCCTCCTGGTACCCAGTGGAGCCTCTGGCGGCCAGTCTACGGTCTCCGCCAAGCACCTCGTGAGTGGCACAACACACTGAGGACTACGTTCGCGGCTCTTGGGTTTGCTCCTTCTACTGCCAACCCGTCGATGTTTCTGCGCACCGACACTTCTTTGCCTCCGTTCTACATCCCCGTGTACGTCGACGACTTGGTCTTTGCCACAGCTGACACTCCTGGACTCGCCTACGTGAAGTCTGAGCTGCAGAAGAGACACACGTGCACAGACCTAGGTGAACTGCGCAGCTACCTTGGCTTGCAGATCACCCGGGACAGAGCACGCCGCACCATTACCCTGACTTAGTCACACATGGTGCAGCAGGTCCTTCAGCGCTTCGGCTTCACGTACTCCTCGCCTCAGGCCACTCCTCTGTCTACTCGCCACTCGCTCTCAACTCTGCCTTCGGATGAGTCCGTAGAGTCGAGTGGCCCGTACTTAGAGCTTGTTGGCTGCCTCATGTACCTGATGACCTGCACTCGACCTGACCTTGCATACCCTCTTAGCATTCTCGCACGCTATGTTGCTCCTGGGAGACACAGACCAGAGCACATGGCTGCAGCGAAGAGGGTGTTGCGCTACTTGTGCAGTACGTCGGGCATGGGGCTTGTGCTTGGAGGGCGGATTCCAGTGGTCCTCACTGGTCACGCAAACGCTTCTTGGGCTGACGACCAGGCTACGCAGTGGTCGTCACAGGGTTACAACTTCAGCCTTGGTTCCGGCTCTGTTTCGTGGCGGTCTACCCGCTCGTCTTCTGTTCTCGGCTCCAGTTGTGAGGCTGAGATCTACGCAGGGGCCATGGCTGCACAGGAGCTACGCTGGCTCACCTACCTGCTGACTGACCTGGGAGAGCCGCCTCGTTCTCCTCCAGTTCTGTACGTAGACAACAAGGCCATGTTGGCCTTGTGTCGGGAGCACAGACTGGAGCACAGAACGAAGCACATCGCTCTTCTCTACTTCCTTGCTCGTGAGCTGCAGCAGCGCGGTCAGCTGCGCCTTGCGTACGTGGCCTCTAAGGCCAACACTGCTGATATCTTCACCAAGGCACTCGCGTCTTGTGATCATCAGCGCTTCTGTACTCTGTTAGGTCTTGTGCCTACCTTGCCTCACTTGCTCACTTCTTGACCTTGCTTGTGCTGTTACATATATATATGTAATCACAAAGTCAAGGAGCGAAGCAACGAGGGCAGAAGCAACAGTAGACTCAAAGGAAGGGTCAGTTACGACAGTAGCAAGGAGACGCGTGACAGTAGGAGTGGCAGCACGAAGGGAGTCTGACCCCGGGTCAGCAAGAGCAGGAAGAGAGGACGCAGGAGGAGACGGCAGTGGGACACGCTGTGGAGCAGTGGAAGAACGAAGCGCCATCCGGTGAGTGCCCGGGACAGCAGGAAGACGCTGACTAGGGACACGACCAGCAGTGAGAGCAGCACGGACAGGTGACGCACGGCGAGACTCAGGCGACGCAGGAGGAGACTCAGGCTCACGACGCTCAGTAAGACCTCCAGTCGGACCAGTGTAAGGAGCAGGACCAGGGAGAGAGGAGGCAGACGGAGGACACCCTAAGGAGGGAGGAGGACAAGGAGGAGGAAGCTGACCAAGAACCTGCAGAAGGAGCGGAACGAAGTACGGCCGCTGCCGCACAGCAACTCCAGAACCAGCAGAGACACCAGCGCCAGGGTCCGCAGTACCAGCAGCAGCTCAAACACCCGGGTCCTCAGCACCAGCAGCAGCTCCAACGCCCGGGTCCGCAGCACCAGCAGCAGCTCCAACGCCCGGGTCCGCAGCACCAGCAGCAGCTCCAACGCCCGGGTCCGCAGCACCAGCAGTAGCTCCAACGCCCGGGTCCGCAGGACCAGCAGCAGCTCCAACGCCCGGGTCCGCAGCACCAGCAGCAGCTCCAACGCCCGGGTGCGCAGCACGTGCAGCAGCTCCAACGCTCGGGTCCGCAGCACCAGCAGCAGCTCCAACGCTCGGGTCCGCAGCACCAGCAGCAGCTCCAACGCCCGGGTCCGCAGCACCAGCAGTAGCTCCAACGCCCGGGTCCGCAGCACCAGCAGCAGCTCAAACGCCCGGGTCGGCAGCACCAGCAGCAGCTCCAACGCCCGGGTCTGCAGTACCAGTAGCAGCTCCAACGCTCGGGTCCGCAGCACCAGCAGCAGCTCCAACGGCCGGGTCCGCAGCACCAGCAGCAGCAGGGTCCGGGACAACAGGCGCGCCACTCCGAAGCGTGCAGCGCCGGTCGTACCACTCACGGATCCGCTCACGGGAGGGGAGCTCCCGACTAGGAAGAGAAGCACCAGCACCAGTCCCTGTAGTACGCCTGGCTCCAGAGGTACCTCTCCGGAGGCTGCAGTACTGTAAGTACCACTCACGAAGCTGCTCCGAGGAGAGGCCTCCTCCAGGTGTAGGACCCTCATGCCCAGTACCTCCAGACTCAGAACCCCCTGACTCCGGATGCTGCGGCTCAGCACCCCCAGGCTCAGCACCCCCAGGCTCAGTACCCCCAGGCTCAGCACCCGCAGGCTCAACACCCCCAGGCTCAGCACCCCCAGGCCCCGCACCCCCAGGCTCAGCACCCCCAGTCTCCGCACCACCAGGCTCTGCACCCCCAGTCTCCGCACCCCCAGGCTCCGCACCCCCAGCAGGACGAGAGTCGACAGCAACCTCAACAGGCTCAACCGGGTCTACCTGAGACACACCTGAGGGAGCGGCACCCTGAGGGGGGAGGGGGTCTACGATAGCAGCACCTCGCGCGAGGAAGAGAGGCGGGGGGGGAGCGGGGCAGTGCGGTAGGGGAAGAGGCGGTAGTAGGGGACGGACTCATCAAAAGTGACGTCCTGAGAGGGCAAGACCCGGCGCGAGGTGGCGTGGTACAACTGCCAACCAGGCGCGTCCGGGACAAAGCCGAGGAAGACGCAGGGAACAGCACGGGAGGAGAGCTTGTCCGCAGACGTATCGCGGACAAAAGCTCGAGATCCCCAGACCCGGAAGCGCGACGCATCGCCAACCTCCCCCGTCCACAGCAGTGTGGGCGAGGTCTCCGGTAAGGAGACACGGGGCCAGAGGTTGAGCTGATGCGCAGCGTACCGAACCGCAAACGGCCACAGAAAGTGGGGGGCAGCCGCATGGATCAAGGAGGTACGGGCGACCTCCATGACCAGGCCAATGCGGCGCTCCGCAACCCCATTCTGCTGTGGAGAGGCCGGAAGCGTGAACGACTGCTCAATGCCGTGCTCAGCACAGTAGGCTGCCAAGAGGTTGGAGGAGAACTCACCACCTCTGTCAGAGTGCAAGCGCAGGACAGGAAAGTCCGAGTGGAAACGCTCGCTGAGCTGAAGACGGGCTCTGCGGATCCAAGGGATTAAGACATCAGGGACCTCACCCTTGGTGCGCAAGGGGAAGACCGTGGTGTAGCGCGAGTAGTCGTCAACAACTATCAGGAAGTACCTCTCCTTACCCTGACCACGGACGTGGGCTGGGCCCCACACGTCCATGTGGAGCGTCTGCAAAGGAGCAGTCGTTGGGGGAAACGAGGAGTGAGGAGCGGCGCGCTGCCGCCCCTCGACACAGGGAAGACGGGCGAGGGTGGGAGGGGAGGGAGGACCCTGGGAAGACCAGAGACAAGGTACCGGGAGTGCATGGCACGAAGGCGCTGCACTGACGGGTGGCCAAGTCGGTGGTGCCAGAGGACAGTCTCGTGCGCTAGAGAGCGACACGAGCAGGGGGCAGACAGCTGACCTGACGCGGACGCAGACGCAGACGCAGCGACCTGAGGGGACGCAGTAGTCAGTGTGTACAGGTCCGACCCCGGCTGCCGGGTGAAGGTAGCCAAGCGGCGGCCCGTACGAGCACACGTGCAGTGTGTCACACGCTCGTAGGCAGGGGTGAACTGGTGAACACCCCCGTCCTGGAGTGCACAACCTGCTACCAAGTTCGTAGAGAACAAGGGGAGGTGGAGACCTGACAGTGTGCCCGACGGGACCGCAGGACAGAGAAGGACAGTGGAGGAGGTCGCAATGACCGGACCCCCAGAGGGGTCAGCGAGGGAGACAGCAACCGGCCGAGCAAGTTCTTGAAATCTTAAGCAAGGGTAGGCTTAGAAGCCATAGTGTAGGTGCCTAGGTGATCGAGTTCGAGAGGGTTAGGAAAGTATCGAGAGATTTTTGAAAGAGAAGGGGTTTCACTAGCAAGAGTTGGGATACAAGTACAATGCCCTAAATTGGGTTGTGCTCATTACAGAGTACCCCACTGCAGGCTAGACAGCAAATATATTCTGACACACCCCCATAGCCAAAGTGGGGTGTAATCAGCAGAGCAGGCAAAGCAGTACAAGCTCAGGGTGGATCACAATGTCACCACGCATTCTGAGCACAAGTTCAAGAAGCAATAGTTAAAGTGCACAATTATCAGCAAAGCTAGTGGTGGTCACAACGGGCAAGTGAGGAGGAGGAGGGAGAGTGAGAGGAGAGGAGATAGAAGGCGGCGGCTGAAGCTGCAGACACACGGGCAACAGGAGTGGCGAGCACAGTGGCTACCGGACTAAGCGCCCGGACTACAGGAGTAACAGGCCCCGCGGCTCAAGTAGCGGCAGACGGGCAACGGACCCTCGGGCGACTGGCGCAGCAACAAACTCACTGGGCTACCGGACTAAGCGCCCGGACTACAGGTGCTGCGGACAACAGACTGGCAACCTCTGCTCATCCTCCCGCACACAGTCCCACCCCCCGACACACACCCGCTGCTATACCGCTAGCTCCACTCCCACCCACCCCCCCTTAAACCCTAAACCCCAGTCTCCCACACATCCACCCCCCTCAGCGAGAGCTGTAGCAGTGGGAGACGAAGGAGGAGGAGGAGGAGGGGACGGCACGCACAACCGACACCCCCACAACTAGCACCCCAACACTCACCCCCCACGGCTGCACCTGGTCCATGAGCGGCTACTGCAGGGGCCAGGGGCGGCTGCTGCTGGTGCGGCTGCTCCAGTGGCTGCCGCTGCTGGGGCTGCTGCTGGGGCGGCTGCTGCTACTTCTGCTCCACGTGCTACTGCTGGTGGGGTGGCTGCTGCAGTAGCAGCGGCTCCAGGGGCTGCTGCTGCTGGGGTGGCCGCTTCAGAGGCAGCTGCTGCTGGGGCGGCTGCTCCAGTGGCTGCTGCTGGGGCGGCTGCTCCCGGGGCTGCTGCTGCTGGGGCGGCTGCTCCCGGGGCTGCTGCTGCTGGAGCTGCTCCACAAGCTGCTGCTGCTGGGGCGGCTGCTCCCGGGGCTGCTGCTGCTGGGGCGGCTGCTCCACAAGCTGCTGCTGCTGGGGTGGCCGCTCCAGAGGCAGCAGCTGCTGGGGCGGCTGCTCCCGGGGCTGCTGCTACTGGGGCGGCCCCAGGGGCTGCTGCTGGGGCGGCGGCTCCTAGAGCTGCTGCTGCTGCGGTGGCCGTTTCAGGGGCTGCAGCTGCTGGGGCTGCTGCTGCTGCTGCTGCTCCACGTGCTGCTGCTGGTGGGGTGGCTGCTGCAGTAGCAGCGGCTCCAGGGGCTGCTGCTGCTGGGGTGGCCGCTTCAGAGGCAGCTGCTGCTGGGGCGGCTGCTCCAGTGGCTGCTGCTGGGGCGGCTGCACCCGGGGCTGCTGCTGCTGGGGCGGCTGCTCCCGGGGCTGCTGCTCCCGAGGCTGCTGCTGCTGGGGCGGCTGCTCCACAAGCTGCTGCTGCTGGGGTGGCCGCTCCAGAGGCAGCAGCTGCTGGGGCGGCTGCTCCCGGGGCTGCTGCTACTGGGGCGGCCCCAGGGGCTGCTGCTAGGGCGGCGGCTCCTGGAGCTGCTGCTGCTGCGGTGGCCGTTTCAGGGGCTGCAGCTGCTGGGGCTGCTGCAGCGGAAAGCAGGACGGAGGGGAGGGGAAGGGCGCGGCCCCCATTGTGCCCTGAAGGGTGACGTGCTAGGGAGCCGCGCAGGTCCCCGAAAGTGCCGCGACGGGCGACGAGAGGGGACCGCGCGCAGGCCCCTAAGGCGCCGCGACGAGGCAACGGGAGGGGCCGGCTTGCGAGCCCCGAAAGTGCCGCGACGAGGCGACGGGAGGGACCTGCGTGCGGGCCCCCAAAACGCCGCGACGAGGCGACGGTCGGGGCCAGCGCGCGGGCTCCCAAGACGCCGCGACGAGGTAGGTACCCGCCGCGCGCTTCGGGGCGCACGGCGGGCAGAAAACCGCCACGCGCCCCGAGCGCGTGGCGGGAAGAAAAAAAGGTGGTCGTGCGCCACGGGGCGCACGACACACAATCGGGCAGCGGAATCGAGTGGGGCCACAGGCCAGGAGCGTTAAGCTCTAATACCATCTTAAAATCTTAAGCAAGGGTAGGCTTAGAAGCCATAGTGTAGGTGCCTAGGTGATCGAGTTCGAGAGGGTTAGGAAAGTATCGAGAGATTTTTGAAAGAGAAGGGGTTTCACTAGCAAGAGTTGGGATACAAGTACAATGCCCTAAATTGGGTTGTACTCATTACAGAGTACCCCACTGCAGGCTAGACAGCAAATATATTCTGACACAAGTGGCTCAAGGGCAGTGCGGTCACGAAAGAAGCGGCGAGAGGCACCTGAGTCCAGTGTGAAGGAGTGCAGTGCTGTAGTCGACTCAGTACCAGGGGGGGCAGACGCACAAGCACCTAGAGCAGCTGCCTCACCAGCTCCTGGGGTAGCAGTCACTCGAGTACCTGAAGCGGCAGACGCACTAGTCCTAATGCTCGGGTCGGGCGGGACACACAGGTACTCAGCACCCGCTCCACTAGTAGACATCACATACATAGCAGTGAGAATAGCATCAAAGTCTAAAGCATAGATATCAATCCCCCTCTTCAGGAAATCAATCCAGCGGGGCAGCTCAGTGGCCTGAGGGAACTGAACACGCCAAGCGTCGTTCAGACGAGCAAAGCAACGCTGTGTGGCGTGCGGTCCCCCACACGGCTGGCCAGTGCGGTCACCAGTGCGAATGACGTACGTGCAGCTAAGGCCACCCCCCCCCCCCCCCCCATGCTGAGAGTACCACTCACGGACCTCCTGGGGCGACGGAGTGTGCTGCTGGCCCTGGCCACCGCCAGTGCCTCCACGACCACCACCGCCGCCACCACCTCCTCGACCACCCCAACCCCTGCCGCCGCCGCGTCCACCGCCACCCCCACCACCTCCTCCGCCCCGGCCACCTCCCCCGACGCTGCCGCCACCCCCCCCCCTACCGATGCCAGCTGTCCCTCCAGTCGCGCCACCACCCCCACCGCCACCACCTCCCCCACCACTGCCTCCCCCGCTAACACCGCCACCGCCCTTGCCCCCTTTGCCCTTGCCGCTGCGGCGCCCGCTCGAAGCAGACGCAGTCCCGACCTTCTCAGCACCAAGGAGGTCGACAGCAGCAGCAGAGGCGACAGAGGGAAGAAGGGGGGAAGGAGAACACCCCTCAAAGAACGGGGTACGGGGGTCGCCACGAGAGGCACCTACAGCGACTATGCTAGTCTCAGCTGCAAGGAGTTCCTTCTCGAGGAGGGCAATGGTGAGCTCAGTGGGGCAGCGAGCTAGGAAGTGGTCCCTGACTGAGCGCAGAGTGTCAGGGAGGCGCGTGACTAGGTGGTAGAGAGTGAGCCAGAGCGGGGGTGGGATCGTATCAAGGAACTCATCAGGCATAGCGACGCGGAAGCGAGCCTCACTAGTGCGGAGGTGTGTAATGAGGTCAGCGACTGTGTGGAAAGAGGCTAAGTCGGGGAACAGGTAAGGAAGAGAGAGACGGCCTAGTGCGGCAGAGGCCGGTGAGGAGTAGCGGGCAACGACAGCAGTGTACAGTGCCTGCGCAGTCTTGTGCTATCCAAAGTGCTCGCGCTCATCTATCGGCAGAGAGTTGCAAATAGCGAAGCGAGCGTGGGCGTCACGAGTCTACCACTGTGAGCGAGCAGTGCTGTCAGCAGTAGCAGCAGGAGCAGTAGCGTGGCCTATGGCATGATCGTACAGTGAGATGTCTTCCTTGGCAGTGAGCTGTAGGAAGAGGTGTAGGTCATCAAGCCAGGTTTCGAACTTCACTGGGCGGCCCTCAGCATCGAAAGCTAGCACAAGAGGGCTAGCCATAGCAGTAGTAAGAGTAATAGAAGCAGTAGTAGGAAAAGCAGTAGGGGCACCCCAAGGACAGGTAGGGCGGCTCGGTACAGGTAGGGCGGCGCGGCTCGGTACAGGTAGGGCGGCGCGGCTCGGTAAGGGCGGCGTGGCTAGGTTCGGGCGGCGCGGCTCGGTTAGGGCTGGGCGGCTCGGGTCGGGCGGCTCGGTTCGGATTGGGCGGCTCGGTTCGGGCTGCTCGGTTTGGGCGGCTCGTTCTGGGTGGGGCCGTTCGGGGCCTCTAGAGGCGAGCGCGGGGGGGCCGATCGGGGCCTCTAGGGACAAGCGCGGGGCCGATCGGGGCCTCTAAGGGCGAGCGCGGGGCCGATCGGGGCCTCTAAGGGCGAGTGCGGGGCCGATCGGGGCCTTTATGGGCGAGCGCGGGGCCGTATGGGGCCGCTAAGGGCGAGTGCGGGGCCGATCGGGGCCTTTAGGGACGAGCGCGGGGCCGTAAGGGGCCGCTAAGGGCAAGCGCGGGGCCAATCGGGGCCTCTAGGGAGGTGAACGTGGGGCCGACGGTGCCTCTAGGGGCGAGCGCGTGGGCCGTTCGGGGCCTCTAGGGGCGAGAAAACCGAGGCGCCCTAGGGCGTAGGTAGGTAGGTAGGTAGGTAGGTAGGTAGGTAGGTAGTGGTGGGCCTTAAAAAAAATCGGTTCTAGGAAGGACCTGCTCTATACCATGTTGAACAGGAATGAATGAACTAACAATGAAATGAGTACAAGTAGGAAACCCTAGAATTGTGTACCCCCTATAGGCTAACCCACTGTAACCTAAACAACTACAACATATATAATGTTTGACAAACTGGCCTTCTGGCCTTGAACTTGTGCTCAAAATGTGTGGTGACGTTTAGATCCACCCTGAGCTTGTTTTGCCTTGCTTTGCTTGACTGGTCTTGTGACCCCTTGTTCTCCCCCACTTTGCCTATGGGGGTGTGTCAAACTTATATGATCTAGCCTGTAGGCTGTAGCGGGTTAGACAGTAAGGGGTACACAATTCTAGGGTTTCATATTTGTATCACTTTCATTCCTTAGTCAACTCATTCTCGTTCTAGTTTTCTCAGAGACTTCTTGAACCACCTGTTCGAAACAAGACAATCGTTGAACACGGCTCATATTATTTTCAAGTCGGTTCTACGTTGTGCATTTCGGAACTTTTGACCATTCAAATTTAGAATTGTTTTTTTACCAGCTTTGCACCGCGCCCTGTTAAACACGTACTGTTCACTGCGCGACTGGATGGGCGAGCCGCCACGCAGCTGAGCTGGCAGCAGGCAGTGTGCCAGAACCAGGCAGTAGAGATTTTCAACATCTCTACACATGGTATGCCCCAATCACTTCTCCCCGCATTGAGGATTACATGAATTTCACCCATTTTGGCGCGGAAAAAAGGCACGAAATCAGCATTAATTTGCGTTACTTTTCATGTTGTCACCCACCAATTCGATGCGCACGAAGCGACCCGCACAACATCGCATATTGGTTCAAGTTAATTTCATGCTTCAACGGTTACCTTCCTAATGAAACTATCTGATATGGGTGGTGAATAGAATACTGAGTGTACTCAGGTGTCCCCAACTGGTGCAGTGTGCTTTGCACACGTTCTGACACCCCACTGCAACCTCTTGGGTGTATATCGGGACGAAACTTCTGTCAGAACATTATAGCTTACTTATTTGTGTAGGCTATAGTGGGGTATCCCATAGGGGGTACAACCCAATTAGGGTTTCCTATATGTACTCACTTCATTCATAGTCATTCCATTCTCGTTCTCATTCTCACATGGAATCAGAGCAGGTCCCCTCCTAGGGACTGTTTCTTGGGCCCACCGAAGCGCGCCCGAGGCGCGCGTTCTTTTTTTTAGCGACCCGTCGTGTCGCCCTCCCCCTAGCGGCCCGTCGCGCTGCCTTTTTGGTCGCGGCCCCGCCGCCCTACTCTCGCGGCCCCGCCGCCCTACCCTTAGACGGCCCCGCCGCCCTACGTCGCGGCCCCGCCGCCCTACCCTTTGACGTCCCCGCCGCCCTACGTCGCGGCCCTGCCGCCCTACGTCGCGGCCCCGCCGCCCTACTTCAACGGCCCCGCCGCCCTACGTTGCGGCCCCGCCGCCCTACTTCGACGGCCCCGCCGCCCTACGTCGCGGCCCCGCCGCCCTACCCTACGTCGCGGCCCCGCCGCCCTACCCTTCGCGGCCCCGCCGCCCTACTTCGACGGCCCCGTCGCCCTACGTTGCGGCCCCGCCGCCCTTTTTCGACGACCCAGCCGTACTACATCACGGCCCCGCCGCCCTACTCTGCGGCCCACCCGCCGCCCTACCTACGACCGCCGCGCCGCCCTGAACAAGAGCCGCCCGACCGCCGGGTCGCCCAGCCGCTGACCGCCGAGCCGCCCAGCAGCTGCCCGCCGAGCCGCCGAGCCGCCCAGCAGCCGAGCCGCCGAGCCGCCCAGCAGCCGAGCCGCCCAACAGCCAAGCCGCCGAGCCGCCGAGCCGCCCAGCAGCCGAGCAGCCGAGCCGCCGAGCCACCCAGCAGCCGAGCCGCCGAGCAGCCGAGCCGCCCAGCAGCCGAGCCGCCAGCCGCTAAGCTGCCCTACTTCGAGACCGCCCGTTCTGCCCAGTCTGGTGAGCACAGAGCCTTCTTTTTCACTGCACTGCCCTCACCCTACTGCTTGCACTGCTAGGCGTCTGTCGTCATGGCTATCCCCAGTGTCCTCGCTTTTGACGCTGAGGGTCGGGCCATTGACTTTGAGATCTGGGTAGATAACCTGCAGCTATTCTTACAGTGCGATAGGGCAGACGGCCTCTCTCTCTTTGACCTTACCTCTGGCGCTTCCCCTGCCCCTGCTGCTGATGCTGACCCTACTGTTCGCTCCCAGTGGACTACGCGCGATGCTGCTGCACGTCTTGCTGTGCGTCGCCACCTCCCCACCTCTGAGCGTGCGCACTTTAGTCAGTACAAGAGTGCTCAGACCTTGTACGACGCTGTAGTTGCGCGCTACTCCTCCCCTGCCACTGCTGCACTGAGCCGCCTCATGCTACCCTTCCTCTTCCCTGACCTTGCCGCCTTTCCCACAGTCGCTGATCTCATTACGCACCTCCGCACTAGTGACACCCGCTACCGCGCTGCGCTTCCTGCTGACTTTTGCGCCAAGAACCCCCCCCCCAAGTACATCACTCTCTACTTTCTAGTCACCTGCCTCCCCGACTCCCTTCGTGTAGTCCGGGACCACTTCCTTGCGGTCTGTCCCACCACTCTCACAGTCGACAGCCTAGAGAAGGCCCTCCTAGCAGCGGAGAAGAGCATCGTCGCTGTAGGTGCCTCTCGAGGTGACCCCCGCGCCCCCATCTTTGAGGGGTGTTCTCCTTCCCCTCTCTTGCCCTCTGTCGCCTCTGCCGCTGCGGCCGACGTCGTTGGTCTTGAGTCGGTCGGTGCGGCGTCTGCCCCTAGCGGGAGACGTCACCCTGGCAAGGGCAAGGGGGGCAAGGGAGCGGGTGGGGCTAGCGGGGGCGGTGGCGGTGGAGGTGGAGGCGGCGGAGGGAGTGGGGGTGGCGGTGGAGGAGGTGGTGGGGGTGGGGGTGCTAGTGGCAGCAGTGGTGGCGGAGGCGGCGTCAGCGGCGGCGGTACTGGCGGGGGTGGCGGCAGTGGCGGAGGTGGAGGAGGTGGAGGAGGAGGTGGTGGAGGTGGTCGGAGTGGCACTTCACAGCGGAGCGGCACTAGGGGTGGTCAGTGCCAGCAGCAGCAGCAGCAGCAGCAGCAGCGTTCTCGCGACGTCCCCACCCCTCAGCAGCTCCGTGAGTGGTACACGCAGCGTCAGCGTGGTGGGGGTCTTGGTCCCTGCACCTACGTCCTTCGCACCGGCCACCGCGAGGGTGAGCAGTGTGGGGGTGCCCACCCCACCCAGCGCTGTTTTGGGCGCCTGACGGACGCTTGGCGTCAGCAGTTTCCGGAGGCCACGGAGATCCCCCGCTGGGGAGAGCTGTCTAGGGCTGGCGTAGCCATCTTTGATCTTGACTTTGATGCTATCCTTGCTGCCATGTATGCTGTGACTATTAGTGATGAGGGTGACTGTTACCGGTGTTTTCCGCCCGACCCGGGCATTGAGACTGCTGCTCTAGGTACTGGTGAGGCTGCTGCCCTAGGTGCTTGCGACGCTGCTGCTCTGGGTGCTAGTGTGTCTGCGTCCCCAGGTACTGGTGAGTCTGCACTCTCAGGTACTACGTCGGCTTCGGCCTCTCACACCTTCACCCTTGACTCTGGGCCCTCTCGCTCCTTCTTTCGGGATCGCACCACACTTACGCCGCTTAGTCGGCCGGTTGCAGTTTCCCTGGCTGACCCCTCAGGGGGTCCTGTCCTGTCTCGCTTCTCCACTGTCCTCCCGTGTCCGGCGGCTCCCTCTGGCACCCTGTCTGGTCTCTACCTCCCCTCGTTCTCTACGAACTTGGTGAGTGGTGCTGACCTACAGGATGCGGGAGTCCACCAGTTCACCCCTGCTCGTCAGCGGGTGACGCACTGCACAGAGGCTAGCACAGGTCGACACCTGGCTACGTT